ATATATATACATATAAATATATATTCGAATTTATTGATATCCGGGGCCGTATAAGGAATATTGCAAAAGTCTTACCTTCACTTCGACGTCGTGAATGGTCATAATCTCTCTTCGTACTTCCTCGAGCTTTGACTGTGTTCGGGACACCAGAACTATATCAAGACCTTTCTTGGCAAGTTCGAATGCGTAAGCTTTGCCGATCCCATCAGTAGCACCTGTAATAACAGCCCACTTCCCATATTTCTTCAGGTCATTGCCTTGGCGTATGAAGTACACATAAACGAGGTTAACCGCGGATAGAGCGGTATAGATCCCTACTCCTGTGATGGCGGCTACGCCGATATCGTATATAAATGACATGTGTGCTGCTTTAGTTTATATGAAGTACAACTGTAATAGCGATCTTCTCGGATACATGTATATATGTGTCTGTATGTATATAATATTCTCTGGGGAAGATCCGCAGATCCGCACTCGCGCGTGTTTTGATATTTTCATCTTTGTTGTGGGAGCATGTGCCAAGGACCGAACATAATTGCGTTAAAAACTGAAAAGCAATCATTTTTGCGTTAAAAAAAGATAAACGTTTCTGTTATACTCTTGTTGTAGAATCGGGATAAATATCAACTCTGGCCTCTGGTAGAGGGAGAAGTTATTTCTTTATGTTTTATAAAAAAAAGACAAAGTTAGAACGTATTTATCGAATGTGGTCAGATATTTTTGCGATCGCGTTCAAAGACGTTTTACGCCATGACGAATTGACGCTATTATCAAAAATGCCAAGGGCCAACGTGTGTCAACAACCCAACAACCTAAAGTTGTCATCGTCATCATCATTTTCTCAATGTATTTACAAATGCAGTTCGTGATATCGAGTTCAGAAGCTATTTAAACTCTCGCGGATGAGTAATTACAACATGGTTATATAATAGATAAGAGACGCGAAGATGCCGTCGTAACCCAAAATGAGGATTATTCAGATAGACGGGGTATATACTGTCGGAAGCGAATGGCTGGAAGTAAAATTTAGTGGCATCCCACACATAGTGGGGGTATTGAATCATGCCAGATTCGACATATTACAAGGACTTTATTTGCAGCACTAGCTGCTAGTTTGATCCACATATATGTTATAACACGATATATATAATAAAATACATATGTACG